TATTCTTATCCTAAATTTCTCTTACTTTTGTTCTTATGAAGGGTTCGTACGAACATGCCACGTCAGATTCAACAAACTCTTCTATCTTCAGGAAAATGTGTAAATGAGGAGCGTAAACTGATGAATGTGTATCAGGTGCTCATGCATGAGGAGAGGCGCTTTACATAATTACCTCCCCAAAAAACACCACATAAGGATATACATTTCCTGCCACACTTACAATGAAGTGTCCATTCATGAAATCGCAGTAAAAAAGAAGAACTTTACGAGTTCGGAGATTGAAGTTCTTCTCTCGGAGATCCACAAAAAAAAAAGTAATTTTTAGCAGCGTCAGCTGTGGAATTAAAGGATCTGCTTTAAAGCCGAGGAATGAAATGACGACTGCTATTAACGTCGTGTCTCCCGTGGGTTGTACAGAAATAAAAATCTAAATCATATTTATCTCTCTCTCTAGTCCTGCTCCGGTTTTCCTTTGGTCAAATATTTTTAATTTCAGTGATAGGTTTCACTTATTCAGAGGAGCCGTCAAGCATCAGATGCGCTTCGGAAAAAAAAAACATTTTAAAACGTCTCAAAAACTTTAATAACTTTATATTATTACTGTAGTGTTATACAACAAAATTAATAGCCAATTAATTTTAATTTAACCAATGTATGTTGTTAGTCTACATAAAAGTATAATTCTAATTCAAACCGAATAGCCTCTTGTCAACATAATTTACAGAGTGTGATTTATTTTCAACTCGAAATTTGTTCAAACTAACAAAATATAAAGTTATTAATGAAGAAAATCCGTCTGGATAACAGCAGACTGACTGCTCATAAAATATACGACAGGTCTGGACCACTCGTGAATTTTGTTCGTATCTGAAGAAAATCTTAGAATACGAAAAAATTGGTGAATGCCACAAATTCTCCTGAATCACTCGTACGCACAACTTAAAGCTGCTGTATGTAGTTTCTTGAGTACCCAAAAACTTAGAAAAATTTTGAACAGAAACAACCTTGTAGTCCCTCCCCCTGCTCTCASCTCCCCTTCCTAGGCTCCTCCCCCACAGCAGGGCCCAGATACGGGAACGCGCACGTAAACAGGAGGTGATCTCACCGTAACACACAGAGCTCAGAGCTAAGCTGCCGTCACGGGTAAGAACAAGCCATCAACAATATATTTTTAACTATCATGTCTTGCCCATACTTTATCTACACAAGTGCTCCTTTTGTCATAACGTTACATGTAAATTATGTTGCACTCTTTCTATAAGTTATAAATAGCTATCAAGCTAACATCACACCGTAGTTGCAGATTAGCATTGTGTTATGTTAGATAAAGTTTAGGATTTCAGCAACAAGACAAGCCTGTGTATTAGTATTTTTCAGCTCTTGCTTTGCAGTGTGACATTTTATCT